ACACCTTGAAGCAAATTTATCAGCGAGACACCTCTCAACAGAAGTGCTTTCTACTACAAGACTTCTACAACTTCAAGTATGACAAAACTAAGGATATGATGACGAATATAAGTCATGTGCAGAACACTGCTTTGAAGCTTCGTCAACTGAACCAGAACGTTGATGAAAACATGATCATGACAAAAATAACAACGATTCTACCAGAAGACTACAAACACTTCAGCACCGCCTGGAACTCAGCGGCGACCGTGGACAGAACCCTTGAAACCTGGTGGCCAGATTGATGTTAGAAGAAGTGAAGTGCAAGATGACGACTAAAGAAGAGGAAAGCATAGCTTTTAAGACAGTAACTAACACCAAAAGTAAAACCCCTTTCAAGTGTTTCAATTGTAATCAAATAGGTCTTGCCCAGATCAACTTCCCCCAACAAAGGTAAGAGAAATTGCTCTATCTGCAAAAGGAATAATAATTCTGAAAAGGACTGTTACTTTAGAAATAAGGACAATGATACGAGAAAACAATGTACAGTATGCAAGAAAAGGAACCACGCTGAAAAGGACTGTTATTTTAAAGATAGGAATAAAAGAAGCAAGGTCAATTTTCTAGCTGAAGCAGCAGATACCCACGTGACTGATGCAAGTAAAAAAGACAAAATGTATGTAGTGGATAGTGGTAGCACATGTCATATGACAAATGTGAAGACTGATTTGATACATACTTAGCTGTATACTCAGTATATAAAGGTAGCAAAGAAAAATCAAAGTATGACTGCAAAAGAAATAGGCAATCTGGAATTTAATGAGAGAAGTTTGAAAAACGTTTCATGTGTTCCAGAACTCAGCAAAAACCTGCTGTCAGTGCACTGTATTACAGAAAATGATGGAGAAGTGTTGTTGACAAAAGAGAAAGTCCAGATACTCAAGGACAAAAATGTTGTAATCAAAGGGAAAAAAGGATGAAAATGGATTGTTTGTAATTAATTTTAGTGCAATGAATGAAGCTATGATTACTCAGCAAGATATAAGTGTAGAGTGGCATAGAAAGCTAGGTCACATAAGTAATGTGAATCTTAGGAAACTACAAGAGATATGCCAAGGGATACCAGAAAGTATGAGCAAGTGTAAAAATTTTGATATATGTTCAGTTTGTATGCAGGCCAAACAAGTGAGACTCCCATTTGATACAGAAAGAAGTAGTGCTGGAAAGCCATTAGAGATAATTCATAGTGACGTGTGTGTGGACCAATTGATCCCACCACTTATGACAATAAGAAATATTTCCTTACATGTGTGGATGATTATACGCATTTTTGTAAGATATTCCTGTTAGAAAATAAGAGTGAAGTGTATACCTTTTTGAAGGAATATGTAAATGAAGCTGAGTGCCACTTCAATACAAGAGTGAGAAGAATAAGATGCGACAATGGAGGAGAATATAAAAACAGTGCCTTGAGAGAATGGTTTAAGAATAAGGGGATTGTAGTGGAATTTACTATACCATATTCGCCACAGCTAAACGGCATTGCCGAAAGGATGAACCGTACCATTGTGGAAAAGACAAGAGCATTGATTTTTGACTCAGGTTTAAGAAAGAGGATGTGGGGTGAAGCTGTACCCACTTCTGCATACTTGCTAAACAGAAGTCCAACAATGACAGTGAATGGAACGCCAGTGGAAAATTGGTATGGTAAAAGACCAGATCTGGCTGGATTGAAGATTTTTGGTTCAGAAGTGCACACTAAAATTCTCAGACCATTGAAAAAGTTGGACAGTCGTAGCAAGAAAGGAATATTCGTTGGATACAACACAAATGGCTACAGAATATGGGATCCAAATACAGAAAGGACCTCTGTCTCCAGAGATGTGACATTCACAAGTAAACCTGTGACAACAAATAAACAAAAGGAAATGGAAAGAGTGATGGATCCAGAAGACAAGCCAAATAATCCAGATCAGGAAGATAGCAAAATGCAGCAAGAACCCGAAGCTGACAACAATGAAGAAGAACCAACAGATACTGAAGAGGATGAAGAAAATGAAAATGCTGACCACAAGGATAATGGAAGGAAAAACGATGGACAAAACGAACATGGATATGCATTGAGACCAAGAAGAAACATTCAACTGCACCCAGAGTACCAAGACTATCACACAGACAGTCAAAAGGAGGGTATGCTCACCTATACATATGGCAAGTGCATGGAGAGCGAAGACAGCAAAAAGTGGAAGAAGGCCATTAAAGAGGAAAAGGATTCGCTCTACCAAAACAAAACTTGGATATATGTAAACAGAGAGAAAGCAATGGGCAAGAAAATTCTGACCAGTAAATGGGGTTTCAAAATAAAGGATGATGGAAGTCACAAAGCCAGACTGGTTGTGAGAGGATACCAACAAAAGGAAGGGGAAATAGATTTCAAGGATACCTTTAGCCCAGTTGTTGACATGAATTCTCTTAGAGTACTGTTTGCCATAGCAGCACATAAGAATATGAACATGCAAACCTTTGATGTGAAGACTGCCTTCCTGTATGGAGACCTTGAGGAGGTAAACTACATGGAGATACCAGAAGGATACAAGAACACTGGCAAGATATGTCTCCTGAAAAAGGCATTATATTGCCTAAGACAAGCACCATCACAATGGAACAAGAAGTTGACACCCTTTCTAAAAGAAGAAGGTCTAAACCAACTAAAATTGACTAATGCATTTTTAAGAATGATGCCAGTAGTTTGTTCATGGCCAGTCATGTGGATGACGGGAGAGGATGAAAGACAAATAGAGGAAATTTTGCTGAAATTGGAAAATCAATTCCAGAAAACAAAAACCAAAAATCCAAAAGTTTATTTAGGAATACAAATTGAGAGGCAACCAGATGGGATACATATCTCTCAAACGAACTATGCAAGCCAAATGTTGGAAAAATACAACATGCAAGAAAGTCGAGAAATGAAAACACCCATGGCCACGACCCCACAAATGACAAAGGAGAAAATGACATAAGATTTCCTTACAGAGAAGCTGTAGGAAGCCTGCTATATATGACTTCTAAAACCAGACCCGATATGGCATTCACTGTAAATGCGGAAAGTCGAAGNAAGACAAATAGAGGAAATTTTGCTGAAATTGGAAAATCAATTCCAGAAAACAAAAACCAAAAATCCAAAAGTTTATTTAGGAATACAAATTGAGAGGCAACCAGATGGGATACATATCTCTCAAACGAACTATGCAAGCCAAATGTTGGAAAAATACAACATGCAAGAAAGTCGAGAAATGAAAACACCCATGGCCACGACCCCACAAATGACAAAGGAGAAAATGACATAAGATTTCCTTACAGAGAAGCTGTAGGAAGCCTGCTATATATGACTTCTAAAACCAGACCCGATATGGCATTCACTGTAAATGCGGAAAGTCGAAGCTTGGAAAATCCTGACAAAATAGCTATTCAGAATGTGAAAAGGACCATTAGCTATGTGAAAGGTACACGAGATTCAGGGATAAAATATACCTCATCTGACTCCGAAACTGTGAAACTGGAAGCATTTAGTGATGCTGATTATGCAGGGGATGTAAAGGATAGGAAGAGTGTAATGGGATATGTAATTATGATGTCAGGGGCCCAATATCATGGTGCTCTAGGAAACAGTATTGTTGCATTATCAACCACTGAGGCTGAATATATTGCAGCAGTTGAGTGCTGTAAAGAATTGAAATATCTAAAGACGTTGATAGAGGAGTTGACAGGAAAAAGGTGGAAGCTGAACTGTGCCGACAATCAGAGTGCAATCAAGCTAATAGAATCTGGATAAGTAACACGTAGGAGTAAGCACATAGACGTTAGGTATCACTAAATAAGTGAACAATTGAAAGAGAAACTTCTCAGTGAAATACTGTAACACTGAAATGCAGGTAGCAGACATTTTAACAAACCCGCTATCACCAGAGAAATTTACCAAGTTTAGAGACATTATATTTAAGAAGAAATAAGTCTGATTTTGATAAGACTGAGAAAATTTTAATTACACATACATATACTAATTTTGTAATCTGAAGACCAAAATTACTAAGTGTTATTCAATTTAACTTTGTAAAACAGCTAATAATGTTAACAACATTTTGAAATTAAGGAGGAAAATGAGAAATGTGTTCATAACATTTTGAAATTATGGAGGAATATTGAGAAAATAGTAATGTAAAAATGTTCATGTTGGTAATAGTGATCTATATTCATTTGTTTTTGTTTTGTATTATAATAAAAAAGTTTCCTCTCGTACAATATGGCTGTTAAGTGATATGTAAGCACGACACAAAGAAAATCAACACAAAGGAGTATAAAATCAAGTAAACTGATAACATTCAGACACACAACTGTAAACATGGCTTCTTGGTAAGAGTCATGAAATTTTTGCTCATTAGTTCTGCAATACTACATCTGCCTTGTATTCTGTTGACCTGAATTAAAGATTTATAGTGATCAGGTTTTCTGAGCATCTCAGCCTCTCCAGATGAATGCATTATGGAAAAGAAAAAAATAGTCACCTCCTTTCCAGTTCCTTCACTTCACTTCTGGATTGATAGGTTGACCACCTTGAACTTCAGATATGAATAAGTGAAGTCATCTGTAAAGCCACCAATCAGTGAACACTTATGAATAAAAAAGAACTCTGTTTTCATGCATTGATTGTGCTGTCTCCTGCACTGCTCTGTGCTTGACCAGAGCCATCGTAGTACCTGGGCTGCATAAAGAACCATTCACTTTAATATCTTTTGCACTGCAAAGAGCTGTGTGGTCAGTTTATAAAGAGGTCAATGGTCCCTCATATTGTCAACCTGAATAAATGCTTGGACTATCTTCTGTAGTCACCTTGGGCCATGTAATGTAGCATTTATGTACATTAGTGCCTGTCAGATAAGGATCTTCTGTCAGGTGCAAAAGTGAAAGGCTTACATTATGATTATAAAAATTATAATTCAATGAATCACCGTTTTTCTTTACAGGGAGGCTACAAATTGCAAGTGCTGGATGCCTTACAGAGACCAGTTCTTGATCTAACTCCAGTAACAGCAGATTCTGAATTTGTTAAAAATGATGTGACGTGAGTATTTTCTATTAGATGTGTATCCTTAAAGATACTTCTACCAGAGCAAACTTCCAGATGACCTTGGTTATATTTACACATAATAAGTCAGTTGTTTCGGAGAAACGTGTTGCCTCCATTCAGGGTTGAATGGTAAACCACGGAGCAGACCAGCATAAAGCAGGTTGTAAGCTGCTTGCTTCTTTGCTTGTCATATTTTTGAACCCTGAAGATGGATGTGACATGTTCCTCTGAATTGCTGGTTGGCATTGTGTTATATCTCAGAAGATAGAACTCAAGAATATTATGGGCATATTTTTATAAAGGCTCCACAGACTAGATAAATAGCTCTCATGAACTGGAACTGGCTTCAGGTCATAGTTTGCTTATCCTTGTCTTAAAAGTACCAGGTAAATATTTGTGCCTGCTTAAATGTGGAAGAACTCAGAACTTTTCTACATACTGTATTTATGGATTTTATTTAATTCTTAGAACAGACAAACAACTGTTGTTTGAGATTTTCACTGTGAAGATTCCTACTGTGGTTGTATAAATTATGACATACATGGCGTATAACACAGAAGATCGTAATAATATGAAACAACTCTGATTTTCCTAAATATCGTTAAGCCTTCTTGTGTTATGTATGATATATTCCTCAATTGAAATTTTCTCATGTGTGTTGTATTTGACATATGCTGCAAGCACCTTCCTGCAGCAAGCCAGGCTTCTGCCTACTCCCCCTGAATTTTGTGGGGGGGAACAAATTTGAAATAAAGAGGGAAGTATTCCAATTATTTACCAAGAACTGAAATAATTTTAGAATATTATTATATCCTGAATAAAAAAGCATCTGACAACTTACATACTTAAGTGGCTTCAACATAAGTTTGTATCTTTTTTTTTTTCATTTACCACCTCACATTCATACATTCATGTTTTTACTTGCACTTAGTTCATTTCCTGTGAGTGATTCCAGATGGTGGGAATGGCTGTCTTCTATAGCTGGCTGATATGAATGACTAAAAAGATAACAGAAATTGAAATTTTGGCTGAAAAATAACGTAACTTGGAAATGTCAGGAAATTTTTGTGACATGGGGAAGGCAAAGCCGCATCACCACATGCTTCTCGCAGTCCCTGATAACAGTTTTGTGCACTACGACCTCGTGCAACTTAAATTTTTATCCAGGAGTGTTGTTCATGTTTTGAAAACATGTTGTTAGGGTGCTTGAACGGGCCTCCTGCACTTCAAGATGATGCACAATGCAACTCAATGAAACACAACCACAGCCACTCACTGCACTACTTCAACTGAACTTCTGCTATCAGCTACAGATGGCGCCAGTGCCACCTGACGCACATCTTTCATGTTACAGCAATGTTGCCACTACTTTTTATCCAACCCTTGTATTTGAATTTTATGCTTCAAATGATTAAAAATGTAGGCAACATACAGAACTTCTTGTAATACTAAAATTTATTCATACAAATACATAATCTTCACCCAACAGTTCAATGTAAGTAATCCAGTATGCACCTTCCCATGGGAGGGCTCTTACAGAGTAGTCACACAGGTAAAGATGTGGTGTACAGGACACAGTGGAACCCTAGATCAAAGATGATGATGGTACACCGTATCTGGGAATGGCTCAGGAGGAGCAGCCTTAAAGAGAGGTCAGTGGGAACAGTTGGACAGTAATCACCATGAGAACTGAACCATGGGGAGGGAGAGAGCAATGTATCATAAAGACCCATTGCTAGGCGATGACTGCAAAATAACAACAGCCGCTGCTAAGTAAAGACTGCGCAAACAAGCATGTTTCCACAGCAACAATTACACTGCAACTGAGAAATTGTGTTTTTCTGTACAGACCATGCCGAAATGCTATAAGAAGGACAAGTAGTGGCAGTTAGTTAGAGGATGACTGTTACAGTTCAAGAATGCAGAGAAGAGGAACATCTGTTGTTGGAAACCGCTATAAAGCAACGCCTAGTGAAGACTGTAACAGATTGAGAAGATTTATTGTGTCCTGTAGTGATTGTGAATTGTAATGAGTTGTGTAAAAGTTCAATACATCTGATTACCAATCCAAACCCTGTCTATAGTCACTCTGTCATGTGACAATACTTTGCTAATGTTGCATCATTTTATGTGGTTCATTTTATGTCAGAAGCTGAGCTATCATCAGATATATTTTTGACTGTTCTTCACACAGAGCACAGTCACATTTGGTGCAGCTGCCACCTGACTTCAACTGCAGTGATTGTACAATACGTCTGATGAGGCAAGCTGAGGAGTGGGGTAAATCCTACCGTTTCTGGTCCTGTGCTGATGTTGATATCCAGTCAAGTAAGTAGAATATGCCACCTGTTTCGGCAGAATATTTTAACAAACTCTCATTAGAACAGGCTTCGATATTTTAGAATTACTATTGATGGAAATTTAATTTTGCAGAAAAAGAATTTAAAGAAGACTGCAGTGGTCATGGACGCTATCTATTATCAAAATGTCGCTGTGATCGACTATACTATGGTCCTCGCTGCCAATACAAGGATGAGTGTTTTGACAGTAATGACTGTGGAGACAGAGGGATATGCATTGATGTTGAAGCCACTACATCCCCTCGGAAGCAGTGCTATTGCGAGCTAGGGTGGTATGGACCAGAGTGCATGAAGCGTGAGTTAATTACACCTGACAGAAACTAGAATAAATTAAAGTCATTTGATTCATTTCAGCAGCTGTTAACATTCATAAGGATGGAAGAAGAACTGTGTTGTGCCTTAATTCCTTGAACTTTCCTGTGTGGATGTTTCTTCCAATTGTTTGATTTCAAATTTCTTAAGTATTTACAGAATTTGTCTTTCTGAAAGATATTCACTATAAAAAATAATATGCACACCATCGAAGTGATCCTAAACTTCAGTTGGTGCACAGATGAACTTGCATAACCCTGCAAGTTATGTAGACTGTACTTTTTTCAGTTTCATGCATTGGCTGCAAGAGCTGATGCATAATTGAACTGATTCTATAAATAAACATACATAATTACTAACCTTAAGATGGTGTGGTTACTTTTCAAGTACCCACCTTCTGAATTTATATACTTATTTTATTTCTGGAAATCATTTTCTTAAGTGCTCTCAGTTCTCTTCACACTGCTTNACTGGTGTGTGACATCAGTCCCGACTCAGCCAGCGAGTTCGGCCTCTACTGGCTCAGCGGTATCTCGATGCTTCCCCCATCTACCAGAGGCGTTAGAGACTACTGTTGGGTGGGAAATGTCCTGAATTTGGCTCAGAGGTCCCCTTGAGACATGAGGTTCTTTTACGTGCCGTAAAGCTACGACACGGGACCCATGGCTTAAAGCCCCTCCCGGAGGACTTGTTCCCTGAATTTTTCCCCCCTTAAAAATTCCACGACCTCCGCCGGGTTTGAACCCGCGTACCTTGAGTCACGAGGTAAAATTATGTAACACTCATATTTATTACTTCAACATGAATGTCCAACAGAACAAGGGAATAATGGACAGACCTGTGTTTCTTCACATAAAGGCCAGAGTTACTAAGGCATTTATTCCAGAGATACATAACCTGTTTGATTTTAGCAGAAAATAAATTAGGGATCAGTGTTTACACCCATCAGCACACTTCAGATTTCAGGTCTTCATTCCAGAAGTATTTTCCTTTACTGTTGATCTCTGCTTCAGGAACTGAAAAAGGGCAATGCCCTGTGTATCTTGAGACACTATCAATAGCAACTTCCTTGCAGACTGCTGCAGATTTCTTGCCAGTACACCATTGAGCCTGGACCTTGTGCATAACTGGAAGTTACTACTCTTCTAAATCAGTGAAGAAGCAGTAATCAAGCAAGCAAAACGGTATATTGTTGAGACAGATGTCTCATTTGGTCTGACTCTTACATGGAGAAACAGAGAATTTGTCTGTTATTCCTTACTGTTTTCGATATCTAGGTTGAAGTAACAAATATGAGAGTAACACATCCCATGATAATACTTAATAAACCTATACACAACTATTTATTTATCTGTTTTATTTGTTTATTTTCTTATTTATTTATAGTCCTGTGATAGTTTATTATCTAATTTGATCATCTTTTATGATAGTTTTTGTCTGTCTTGATACTCATTTTTATTATCATTGGCAAAACTTTCTTCTTGAGCCAAAGCCTTCTGAAGAAGATACTGCCAGATGTTTCTGTTCCTGGTCATGCATCATGAAGCAGACCATCCGTTTCTCACTCCTTAGGATTTCACAACAATATTCTTTTTTGACAGAGCAAGATCATCAGCCTTGTGTCCAGTCCTCAGCCTGGAGGATCAGGTTCCTGTATTTATGTCCCACATTAATAGGATGGCCCAGTTATACCTCCAGGAGCTTAGAGCTAAATGAATTGAGGATTTTGTCTTCTGGGGTATGGGAAGTCCATTGAATTTCAGGAGACTACATGGTATTACATTGGCTATTGGGAAAGTAATCTTCATTTAGTTTAGACAGCTAATGTAGAAAGGGGGAGAGTGCGCACATGTGAGGTAGTGTCACCTGATTCATTGCCTTGTAAACCACCATATAACTGGTCACCTAGTGTTTGTTCTTGTGTCTAAAGAGTGAGTTATGATGTATACTGCAGTTGATAATCCTGTCAGCTGCGATATCTGCACTATTATCCATTTTCTTCATGCTAAAAACATGAATGCTGTGGAAATCCATCGTGAAGTATGCACAGCAGGTTTACAGCCAAAATGTAACGAGTGAAGGGACCGTAAGACATTGGTGTAGAATGTTCAAAGATGGAGGAACAAATGTTCATGATAAAGACCAAAGTGGTCAGCCATCTGTGGTGAGTGATGATCTTGTTCAAAGCGTTGACCAAAAAATTTTCAAAAGATAGTGCATCACAATTTAATAAATTTTCTCCTGAATTTACACAAATTTGATGCACCATTCTCTATGAGATTATCACAGTTAGGTTAGGCTATCACAGGTTTTTGCAAAAGATCGGTTCTGAAAATGTTCAAGGGTGCGCACAAAATGCAGAATATGGCTTCAGCTTTTGACACATTTTTAGGGCAATACCACAAAGGTGATGAATTTCTCAATAACATCATACAAACAACAGGTGACAAAACCTCGGTTTCATTTGTGAATGTTGAAACCAGAGAGCAGTCAAGTAGTGGATGCACACATTCACGAAACTAGCCAAAAGTTTAAACAAACGTCTTCCTGCCAAAAAGCTGATGGCAGCTGTTTTCTGCGACAGCAAAGGAGCGCTGATGGTGGAATTCATGCAAAATGTGACCACAATGCCAGAAATGTATTGGGAACACTAAAAAAACTACTTAGAGCTGGCCATTCAGAACATAAGGCACAGAATGTTGACAGCTGGTGTAGTGTAGTGACAGTACGCTTCTGCATACAGTTGCTTGCACTCGAGACTTGCTGGAACATTTTAACTGGGAGTTGTTTGACCACCCTTCTTAAAGCCTTGATCTCACCCTGAGGGATTATCACCTGTTAACCTGCCTGAAGAACAGGTTGGAAGCACAGCGCTTCAGCAATAATGAGGAATTGATGGAAGGTGTCAAAACATGGCTGAGCTCACAACAGACTTCTTTGACATAGGCATACAGAAGCTTGTCCCCAATATGGCATGTGCCTCAATTCTGTCGGTAACTGTTGAGAAGTAGCTGACAGTTATGTATTTTTTGTATACATATTTTTTTTTCTCATTCCTTATTTTGTTAACTCACTGGAAGTTACTTTCCGAATAGCCCTCATATATCTCAGAAGACAGAACTCTTCATAATCACTGCTGCGAGAACCTCACATCCTACTTATGTGGATTAGACTTGCACCTGCCTGCTTCTACAATATAGTTATGTATTCACTAGTGTTTGTCACATCCTTTAGTATTATCCAAGAAAGGACTAATCTTCACTCTTAAATAGATATTCTCCTAGGCTAATCCTTACTTATTACTTTACACAAAAATATTGTCTACGAGTATATTATTAAATATGGGTCAGCTTCACAACAATAAAAGGGAGACACTTTCACAGGAAGCATCCTCTCTTCTTTCAGTCTGTTTTAAACTTTCACCAGTAGCAACGACATTTCCAAAATTTATTTAAATGAGGCTGCCAAAGAAATGTCTTTCACAATAGCATTATGATCCAAATTTTATGCATCTAAATATAATTAATTCCCCACTGATGGTGTCTCCACCTTAATGTAATGATGGGGTTTCAGTGTTCCTGACCCTGAGAGCTATGCCAGTGGTGGTATAGCTACTGGTAGGGTTACCCATGCTGCACAGGTCAAGTGGAGGGAGCCAGATGAAGAGGGATACCCTGGTCCTCCATGTTGGGGCGTTTGGAATGAGGCTGACAACCTCACATCATAAAAACTAAATTGTTCAGAAACCAGATAAACAGCCTCAGATGGATGGATTGAACGGAAATAACATCAGCAAATGAGCTAAAAGGATGAGGAGGAAAGATGAAGAATAGAGAAGAATGGAGGCAGATTGTTCAGGAGGCCAAAGCTCACCTTAAGTTTTAGCTTCAAGGGGAAGGAAATATAGTAATTAATTACAGCAAATATGCCTTGTATTAGATAGTCCTGAAATAACTTATATACTGGGTCCTATCCTTCCAAAACTCGTTTGCACGCATCAGATATTGTCTCACATGCCAACCAACATCATTTATATGAGTACAGTCATATTCACATGAACAATCAGAGTAGGCTTACATCACATTTGTGTGTGGTGACAGAGCAAAAACAAATTTGAGGAGAAGACGGATTATTATTTGGGTTCAAAAGTTGCTATTATATTTTGAGTTATTTAATTTTTTGTTTTTGTTTGTTTAAATGGTACTTACTGTGAATTAGGGCCTCGTCATAGCTCAAGTGGTTAGTTGCTGGCTTCCCACCGTGGCGGCCAGGGTTCGATGCCGGGTCTGGTCAAGTGGGATTTGAGGTGGACAAAGTGCAGCTGGGGCGGGTTTTCTCCGAGTACTTCGGTTTCCCCTGCCAGTCTTCATTCCACCAATTGCTCCACAATCACCCTCACCTATCATCTGGGGCTGGTAGAATAGGCCAGAAGTGGCCGCATTACAAGGGACTTAGTCCCACCCCACTAGCAATAAAAAAATACTTTGAATTAACAAATCCTTATGCTAACTAACAGTCATATTAGTAAAGTTTTACTGTATGTCCATATAGGTTCTCCAGTCAAATCGATGGATCTGGACTTCACTGCATATAGCAAACGAGATTTGAGCAACACATTCACCCTGTACTGGAGAATCCTGAAGGAGCAGCAGGAGTTGGAAGTAGTAATGGTTGTGAATGGTACAAGTTATGTAGGTCTGGGTTGGCGGCCACGTCATCTCACAGCTTCATGCCGCAACTTCCCATATTTGGAGGATTCAGGAAGCAAAGATGGGAAACAGGAAACTGAAATAATAGTAGGTAAACCAGAGCCTGAGAGTCATCCTGAACCTTCAGGTAAACCAGAACCTACCAGTGAACCAGAACCAATCAGCAAACCAGAGCCAACTAGTGAACCAGAGCCAAGTAGTGAACCAGAACCAAATAGTGAACCTGAGCCAAGGCATACAGAGAAATCCAATCATGGCAAAGTTGTTTCATCTCGTGAAACCAAGAACTACAACAATTCATCAAATACTGACAAGGATGTGACTGTAGAAACAAGTGTGTCCTTCAGAGTCAGTTCTTCTCAAGGTAAGCTCATACTCTGTCATGCACAAATTTTGCTGATGTGCTCTTCAAACAAGACATGGTGATGTCAGCAATAATTGCTCTTTGCTTCATACTGAACTTAAATATTGACTGACAGACATTTTATATTTATGTTCAAAGCATGTATGTTAAAGCTAAAAGAACTGTTAGAGTCAATCGGCAAAGGAACTGACTACCTATTCAGCACGTCACCACCTTTTTTTTTTCTCAGATATAAACCACATGGGTGTTAATTGATTAATTATTATGGTGTTTAGAGACATCTTCAGCTGCAGACTTTACTCACCATCAAATGAAAGAAAGAAATGATCATGGATATGTTAGGTAAGGTTTTGAAAGAATTGAGTTGTAGTCTATTTTAAGACATAACCAGGCATTTGCCTGGAGAGAATGAAGAAAATCATGAAAAAAGAACCTGGTCAGGTTTTATAGCGGTTTAGCTGATATTAGAACCAGGTACAATCAAAAGCAATTCTAGAATGAAAATCACTTTCCTCTACATGTGTGTATGCATGTTTGCACATGGACACACGCATCCAGTTACTCTACAGCAATTTTATCTTTGTGGTTGGGTGCTGTTTGCACATGGACACATGCATCCAGTTACTCTACAGCAATTTTATCTTTGTGGTTGGGTGCTGTTTGCACATGGACACATGCATCCAGTTACTCTACAGCAATTTTATCTTTGTGGTTGGGTGCTGTTTGCACATGGACACATGCATCCAGTTACTCTACAGCAATTATATCTTTGTGGTTGGGTGCTGTTTGCACATGGACACATGCATCCAGTTACTCTACAGCAATTATATCTTTGTGGTTGGCTGCTGTCATGCGCATCAGTTTAGTCACCAACACTATATCTCTATAAACTGCTGGCACGATTCCATGCATTGACAATCATGTGTACCATTTCTCTCAAAAATAGTTCAACTCAAGGAGGAAACAGTAGGTTGAATGTACTAAGGAATTCTTGTATTTTTGAGAATACTGCAGGGAAAATGTGGTATCCATTTTAAACCTGTAAAGATAAGCTGAAGCTGAATACATAATTAAAATGAGTGGAAAGACATCCTCCACTTGGGTACATATATTTTATAGATGCAGTCTTTGATGTTTTGCATACCTCATTGGGTATTTACTGTAGAATCAAAAGCATACATCTGCAACTGCAATTTGTTAATCGTACCACAGATATACCAAATAGATTCATAAATTACTTGTCCTTTATTTTGTTAAATTTTCCAATATTGATAAATGTTTCAAATTGTAGATGTAGCTTTTAACAGTATCTGCATATTGTGTCATGTAACAGTAAGCCATTTTTAAGAACAAGGAAAAAATCTGATATGAGCTTCACACGAAGTATCAGTTATATCAAACCAATATTGACCAGAATTAAATTTATATGTGAACTTCTAGGATAGACTACCAGTGTCCAATTTCATCATAATTTGTTGAATAGTTTTGGAAATGAAACATACACACAGGCCACCCCCTGAAATACAGTGGAACGTCGGTTAACAAGCACCTCACATAACGAGCAAAACAAATCGTAAAGAAATGACTTGCTTAACGAGTGATGTTTCGCATAACGAGTGACGAGAAGGAAAGTCCTGGATTGTGCGCTTGCTACATCAGTCTGTGTTTAGCACTCGTTCTGCTAGCATCTTAGTGTTGCTTGTGATCACACATTTTTCCAAATTTGTATTTAGGCATATTATTTGTAATTTTTTTTTGTGCAAAGTTTAATAACCCTTGCAAAAATGTCCCCGAAGAAAAAGCTGCAAAAAGACAGCCATAAGAGAATAAAAATAACCGTAGAAATGAAACGCAAAATAATTGAAAAGTAAGAACGAGGTGTGAGCGTGGCTGATCTAGCACGCACATACAGTCGGTCTACATCAACGATTTGCACTATCCTCAAGCACAAGGACAAGATTAGGGAGACAGATGCTTAAAAGGGAGTGACAAGAATATCTACGCAACAATTATGTATTCTCGATGATGTTGAAAGGCTGCTCCTTTCTAGTAAAAAAGAATTAGATATGTATCATAAATAATAAACTTATTATTTCGATTTTTTTTTCTGCAAATCGAATTCGCATTCCAGGTTGGTTCAATGCGCACAGAAGAAAAGATGAAGATGATTCACACTCCTTAACACTGTATATATAATTTTCTTTGAATAAACGTTATACATAAGAATTGTTTAGTATTTTTTCGGCATGGAATGCATTATTGTATTTTACATTAATTTATATGGGAAAAATTGTTTCACATTACAAGTAAGATTCTGGAACGAATTATGCTCGTTAAGCAAGGTTCCACTGTATATTCACTTTGTGCAGAAACACATACAGTACATAGAATACATACGGTCCAGCCAATTCTGAGAGATGTTATTAAAGTTGAGTCATTTTGTGTAGTCTCTCTTTTGTACAGACACAGTATATTGTATCATGCAGACCCATTGCTGGGAAATGGTCACAAAATGATGCCTATTGCAGGGGCAGTGGATTCTTAAAAGATGGTGTTACACAACCCATTGCTGGGTGACATGAACACATTCCCCTGGAAACAGTTAGAATGTGAGAATGAACGGTGTTTTCTCTGTGGTCCATGCTGACGAGTTATCTTGAAGACAATTGGGGTGACCTAGACCAAGTCAAAACGTGTGTGGAGGCAGGGTCGAGTATGTCCACCGTGATCCTGCGAGTTGTAGGAGGCGATGAAAAAAGATGGCCCAAATCTGAGAGAGTAAAATATCGTCACGAGTACCAAAGGACTCGGACCCAAGAAAGACTGCGCTGGCAAGGGCCAACAGCATGTACAAAAAGACAGACCAGTCCTTTCTTCAGAGAGGGCGCCCCACAAAAACGAGACCGTAACTGTTAAACTGTAATAAATATCTGGTCATGACACTAAGACTTAGTGACTGACTGACCATCAGTCGCAATGTGACTTTGACTTTTGACCAAGACTCAGTTGAGAGTCACTTTTATATGGGCATCTGTGAAGAGAGGACCTGAGCTGGAGGCAGATGAATAGCCATTGTTGGAGCTGTTACCAGGAAACTTCTAGTAACAGACAGAGAACACTGGACTGTATGCTCTAGTAAACTGTAAAGTGTGGAAGTAGTGACAGTGTTATAGTTATTTGTACTTAATGACCTGTAAGTGGGCAGTAAATCTGTCCGCCAATCCAAAACCTATCTATGGTCACACATATCACATGACAGTATATTAACAAAGTATCTGCATCTCTTATGCTGGATAAATTAGGTGATAAGGTATACATGATGCCTGACATCTATCGGCCTTAGCAACATATTGATTATTCATTTGTCCTGTGTAATATTTGTCAGATATCAGCTCCTCAAAACTGGCCAGATGCTTGGCTGGGGTTAACAAATCCCACATCATTAACTGTTTATATGCATGGGTTTCATACAGAGAAAAGACAAGCCATACATAAAAGTTTAGTTGGTCATTACTCGGTAGCTGTTTATAGTGGTTGTAAGAGGTTCAGTACCTCTAAGAAGAGAGCCCAACAAAGGATGTATTTGTGATCCTGGTCCATCCATTTCCCATTCTCAAAAGTTCCCTTAGATACTTGTATTGTCACCATTCCAGTCTTTGTTGAGTTTGCATGTGACAACATTCCAAGAGTGAAATGCTGTATGCATTTCTTATTTCTCCATCCAAATTCATTATGTATCTAATCCATTGTAATCTCATTTATTTCATTATCCAGGTGACCTGTGTAAATTAAAAACTTCCTTGTTAAATAGGTAATGTACTTAATCCTATTAACATCGAAGTATTTTTTTAAACATTTTATTTTCAGACTTTGTAATTTATGTTCATCACTCAAAGCAGACCATATTTTAGAGCCATACAAAATGAACAAAAATTATTGTTTTATATGTCTCCCTCCATATATGTAGTTTCACTTATTCATGGTGAGTTCAGAACCATGCACTACCATTAATTTTCTTGAAAAGTTTCCTGTGGTGCATCTTCAAGGTCTTTCTACATATTCTCAGCACATAATCCACAACTTGCTATTTTTCTGGCAGCATCTTATGAAATTGATCAACCCCCACTCTCCCACATGTGCACAGCCCATTTGCATTCATACCTGCCAAAAGAAAGTTATACGATAGTGACATTAGTGAAGCAGGAAAGATGTGAATAAAGGAACAAATAATTCATAGTTCACTGAAAGCACACATGCATATATTTACAGAGTTCATGACCTTATTTTAATCATCTTAGGAACATATCTCGTATGAATACAGAGGTAGTGAGTAATAAACAGAGATTTAAAATTCCAAAATAGTCATAACTGTTGAAACATAGCGTTTTTTCCCTCTTCTTATCTAGGTCGCAGAAAGAGGGGAACTTCAAAAGAGAATAACACCCAAAGTAAGTACCCTGCCACATTGGTATGTTTAGTGTTACGTATATAAGATATATAGGCTAATGAATATATGCTTTGGAAATAAGTCCAACTTGTGTGACTGACTTAGTGAAGTGCATAGCTGCTCATTGTACATAAAGCAAGCTCTGTGTCACATCAACTAAACATGTAAAAATGCCACTTGCTGCAAGTGTTTAGAAGTATAAAACCATAACATAATTATACAGTGCTGCCATGCACCAATAAAAATGCAGAAGTAGCTTATAAATTAAGGCAGGCAGTTATGCTTCAAATTATAGCAAAAGTGAAAGGTTACTAGGTGAATGGTTAAAAGAAGTATACTTATGGAGTGGACTAAATTGTTGTTTATTTCACAACAGTGATGCAATATTTTTCACCTACCCAAATGTTCACATATATTTGCTGGTCAGTATTAAAAATATTCTACTCTTCTGCTATATAATAAAAAAACTGCCATTTAATTCCATCCTTTGTCTACTCTTTGCAGTAAAAGGTAAATTTGTCTCTGTACTTAACTAATTAAGCACTATGCCATGAGGGCGTATGGGGGAGTGAATGTATAGATCTACATTTTCTTGACCTTGGTATTAGCTGAATGTGACCTTAACAGAGGTAAAGGAGTGAAGTATTGATTTAAGATTCATTAGGTGTATATAATCTTTCAGAAATTAATATGCACATATGTATATATGTGTGTGTGCATGTGCATGCATATATACTTATGTATGAAGTGCACGTGCGTGTGTGTGTGTGGGGGGGGGGCACACACAACATATATAAATTTCATATTCTTCAGGATGAACAAAAAATACCTGTGCATCTGTAATCGTCAACTTAAACTTCTAATACAATTATTTCATATATAGTATTCCATTTGTGCTAAAAGTTTGTGTGAATGTTATTAAAATTTCTAATTTCTAATAAGTAATCAATGAAGAGACCGTGTTACTGGAGATGGTTCAGGAATCTTATCAGTAATAATGGAGAAGATATTGTGAACATTAAATTCTTCACAGATGAGGTATGGTTCCATCTGTTCAGTTATGTCACTAGCCAAAATATGTCTGTTAAGCACAAATCCACATGATTTTAAAGAGAGATTCCTGCATGATGAGTAGGTTGATGTGTGGTGCACAGTATGAAAAAATCAGATAATCTGGCCCATATGTTTTTTAAAGCATCATTTCTGAGTGACAAAATAATTTGATTCATTATCTAAAAATTGCCTGGGCCTATTTTCATCAAGACAGTGCTACTGTACACAGTGTGAGGACTATGATCCTTCTGTGCAGTGATTAATGAAAGATTAATTTCAGTGATTTGGTCATCAAGGTTGTCTGGTCTGTCAATACCAGTTATCATTTGTGGGAAGAACTAAAAGGAGAACAGAACAAGCAGTATCACCATGCTTTCCAAGAACTTACTAAAGTCATCATCAGTGTCACTCAAAATATGATGAATATATAAATTAGGTTGTGAATATATAGGTTCAAGTTCATGAATACCATTTCCAGCTTTCACTGTTAACAGAATGGTGCCATACTGTGAGGATGAATAATGCTGTACTCTTATGCACTGCATCTCTTGGTTTACTCTGAACACACAATACATTATCTTATTTCATGTTATATTTGTCAAAAGTCTTTGTGGTTTTTCCACCTCCTTCTTATGTTAAATCTTGTGCTCCATGCTTCTGCAAATTACTACATGCAAAGCTTCTTGAGTGTGATTTCCTGATATAAGTTTACTGCTCAGCAAGAATGCACAAATCATTGACGATAAATATTTTAGGATCTCTTATAAATATATGTTAGTACTCTTAACATATTTGACTTTGTGATCCTATGTGTATGCCATAAAATTGCATGTTTAGTCATTAATGGCAGCAGAGAACTTATTTCCTAAACGATTGAACCATGGTAATACCATTTTTACCAATAGAGAAGGTGTGCAGGAAATTCTTATGTGGAAAATTATTAAGAGAAATAAAATGTGAGATTGTATATATGTCTCGTAGTCCACGTGCCTACACTGTAATAACTGAAGACTATAGGCGTGTGGAACTTTGCACAAGACATTACTAAAATGTATCTCCTATAATGCCAATGACTACAGCTAAGATATAACAGGTCCTTGGCTTAGCTAACTTACACACAGGAGAGACTGAAAAAAGTGTAACACATATTTTGAAACAAAAATGCATTCACCCACCATTAATATTGTACATGTCTGTCCATCATATCATATCTTACTCATTTGTAAGGTTCTGTTGAGATGTTAAATTTCTCTATTACATAAAACTATATGAATAGAAATTGTACTGAATTATAAAGAATAATATCAACATACTTCATGCATTATCTGCATACGAGTACACATGCACACGCGCACACACGTGAGATCTGGCATGATATGACATACTGTATTTTAGTAATCTACCACAAAGAAAAGACTGAGCAACAGTAGTCTAAACATATTACAGATTTAATACACAATTTATTAACACCTGTAAGGCACAGAAAGAAAGCCTTTATCCCTCATTTAAGATGCCATTTTTTATAGATATCATATAAAAACATTTGTATGAAGCATACTGTAAGACTGGGTGGATAGTTTTTGTTATGCAACTATAGATTTAAATTATATTTCTGAAACCCTGAAAGATACTAATATTTGGTCAAAAACTACATCTTTGGGCATCAAATTGGAAAAATAATATAGTACTCTTATTAGTACTTATGCAGATGTGATACAGCAAAATTGAATGTAAATGAAATTAAAATTAATAGAGTCAAAAGGAATTGCAGCATCTCTGCTTGCTACAGAAACCATAGGAAACTTGTGTAAGAATTCCTGACAGAATCCAAAGAATGCAGAATTATTTCTGTGTTTATGTTTATATGAAGTGGGTCTATTTAAAAAAATGTATAAAATTTTACAATTAAATTACAGAAGTAGTATGATAAATGTAATATGTGACTGGAAACATATCTAAAAAACAGGAAAAGTGTAAAGTGTATTGCAGTGGAGAGCATGTATTTTCAAAAGATGTGTTATTTATGTGTGGGCAAATTTTAATTCCTCTATTGCCTTGACATGCATCTGTTAAAGATGCAAATTCTGTGTGTCATCCACCATAGTCAGAACCCCTTAGAATCTACCAATTCTGTGATCAGTGACTCTGTCATTACTTGAATTTAGATATAAGAATCTGGATAATTATTGCTGCTAGTATATTTGAGTTTGTGTTCAGTTTTATGAACAAAACTGAGTGCTGGTTTGACACATGTTATTAATGTAATATGCATCTCATTCAACTTAGGAGGTGGTTTGTGTGACAGGATTTCCAAACTGTACATCACTTGTGTGTGCAGTGAAAACTGCCTTTGATGGAAAATTTCTGTGCCCCCAGGAATAAAAGCGAAAACCAGTGTCTGATTACATGCAACAAATTGAAATTTTACTGTGGAACTGGATAGGTGAAACAAGAATTTCGTGCAAAGCAGTTAGCATAAATATTTATTGATTTCCATTCTTCTAATCCTTAATGTACTGCGCTTTCTGGACTAATCAGAGAAGGAACATCTGTCACAGGCATGAAAGATAATGCTCAAGCACCAATAAAAAATCCCAGAAAATGTTAACAATCTATTGGAAAACTCAGTAAGAAATAAAACTGAAAATTCGTTCTGCTGTTAGTTCAATGTGCATATGTATCACGGATTTATTACTTTTGATCCAGAACATAAAAACATGGGAAATAAACTAAGAGTGTTTTTATAAAGAAATAATGTCTGAAAAGGAAATATGTTAAGGTTCTCTATGATTCCATTATAAAAAGGTTTTATTCTGTGAATTCTGTACATTGGAGGTATAAATGCCATACATTGCAAATATATATTTAATGTTTAACATTGTTAAAGAATGAGATTTTTCTGCTGCACCTGCATTCTATAAGCTACTAAAGCAAATGTATATTTTCTGTTGGTATAGTTAGCAAGGAACTTTAGCATGGTGATTGGTTTTCCCTCTTGGCTGTGGCATGGTATTGTTTCTGTTTCCTAGGCATAGCATCTGCAGCTGAATTGGAGCCAGTTTCAGAACCAGAGCCCAAATCTGAGCCACAGCCAAACTCAGAACCAGAACCTGTTTCTGAACCAGTTTCCAAACCGAAGTCTACTCTGCCAAATTCCAAATCAAACACAACATATAGACCTAAAGCAGCAGAGCTGGAACCAACCTCAGAACCTGAGCCAACCTCAGAACCTGAACCAACCTCAGAACCTGAGCCAACCTCAGAACCTGAGCCAACCTCAGAACCTGAACCAACCTCGAAACCCGAACCAAGCTCAGAACCTGAACCAAATTCTGAACCTGAATCCAAGCCAGAGCCAATTTCAAAATATCAAGCTGAGATAGAAGGAACACCAATGTCTAATCTTCAAGGTACAGTGAAATTAGAGTTGTATAGTGACACTATATAGCCTGAGCTACTTTAAGCATTGTTAAATAAACCATAAATAAAGAAAAAATATTGTATGATTTTGAATATGGTGAAGACCGAATGTACAGCGTTGAAATGAGCTTTAAATACTCCTCAGATATCTGTATATTCTGCAACCTTCATAGTACTGTATAGTATTAGAAGACAACTTTCAATTTGCATGGCTTGTAAATAGTGGTAATTCTCATTTGTGTAGGACACCACTGAAACAATATGAATGCACAGTCAAACTGTATATCTTCATAATTTTTCATAAAAATACATTTTGTGAAAACTGGAGGACAATATACATTGTGTGACTGTGCATGCATATTGTCTTAGTTGTTAACTGTCATTATCCTCTCATGACAAATTGTATACCTGTACATCAGAATATGGGTAATTTCATTGTACTGTTATTATTAGTCTAAGTTATTATAAGTCTAGAAGTAACTAAGAAACTTGAACATATCAAAAATAAGTATTTCCTAAATGTTGCCATATTTTCCTTATATGGTTTTAGTAATATTATCATATTACATAGTACACAATGCATTCCAAGGAGAATCATACAAGTACGTCATCTGAAAGAAGTTTTTCATGAACCACTATGACTAAGATTGCTGAATTAAGCTTAATGCCATGAACATGTGTGTGGGAGTGGAAATATAGCACCACATATTCTTAATCTAGGCATTAGATGGTAATTGGTCACTTTAGTGTCCTAACTGCATTACCTTGGAGAATGCCGTATCTATACCCACTGGATAGGAGGTTGAGTGGCCCCAAATCTGATTTGGACTTGGTAGTGATAGGAAAAATCTCGGGTCTGTCAAGAGTCAAACCTTGGCAGTCCAGCCCATAGCTGGTCAATATAATGATCGACGAAGACTGCAGTTTCCGACTTTCTTCTCTTTACATCTGCCACATTCACTGAATATACAGTTGATTAGCTAGTGTGTCACATGTTTCAATTTGGATCACATCACAAGGGTGCACTGCTTCCTGCTCATGTTCCAGTGCATTCAGGAGGCTTCTGGGTCAAACATTTTTTCATGATTTTTCCTCAGCCTGTCTGGGCAAATGCTGTGATATTATATTAAAACAGGCCAATGACCGCTTCCACCCACGTCCCTCCTGATTCAACATTCATGATTGTTTTACTGCTTAATTCTATACAACCTCTGCAGTTGACAAAACGTAATTAAATATACCAGCACTAGATGCTTCTGAAGAAAGCAGTCTTCTGAGATTTGGCACCGTGTATATGTGGTGTTAACCGACGTTTCGGAGGAACGTATCGCCTCCATCTTCAGGGTAGAAGAAAAAAATATATATAAGAATCTGCAAGCAAAGAGACCGTGAGAACCGGTAAAAGCAGACTGTGGAAAAATAACACAGCTATGTGAGAGCAGTGAGGGAGAAGGGGGAAGGGCAAGTATACAAGTGAAAGCAGTAGTGTGGGAGGGGTTGGGGAAGGGAGCTAGGACAAGCGTGGTTTTTGTGTAGGGGAGAGAAAAGGCGAGGTTGAAGGCTGGGCACCACCCGTGAGCTGAGGGGTGGGGGTTGTTATGTTGGTTGGTCATGGCCTGTGTGGCCTTCTGGATCTGGCGTCATATCCCGGNCATCCTCGCCACCAATTCCCGCTATATGGATCGCATTATTAGGGAGGCAATTGAGATTGAACTGCATCCAGGAAATATGAACAGAGAAGGGGGGTTTTGTCTGAGCAAGTCTTGGAAACCTCTCATCTGTTCTCTTAAAAAACCCCCACCGGGATATGACGCCAGATCCAGAAGGCCACACAGGCCATGACCAACCAACATAACAACCCCCACCCCTCAGCTCACGGGTGGTGCCCAGCCTTCAACCTCGCCTTTTCTCTCCCCTACACAAAAACCACGCTTGTCCTAGCTCCCTTCCCCAACCCCTCCCACACTACTGCTTTCACTTGTATACTTGCCCTTCCCCCTTCTCCCTCACTGCTCTCACATAGCTGTGTTATTTTTCCACAGTCTGCTTTTACCGGTTCTCACGGTCTCTTTGCTTGCAGATTCTTATATATATTTTTTTCTTCTACCCTGAAGATGGAGGCGATACGTTCCTCCGAAACGTCGGTTAACACCACATATATACGGTGCCAAATCCCAGAAGACTACTTTCTTCATAGTCACCGCCGTGAAAGCCTCAAATCTTACACTAGATGCTTCTGTTTTGTATTAAGCCTCTTCTAGTGACATCTGTCAAATGTTTGTCTGTAAATTGTTGTTCTTAACCTTAGCATTTGGACATTTTTCCTGCCTCCTAATGACGTATATTGGAAGGTTAACCAACTGTTTAATGCAATCTACAAAAGCAGTATTCCTTTCACATATATTCGTTCCAATTCCCAAGTTATTTGTCACCATGTGAAATATGAGGGTTAAATGTGGGGTTACAGTCGGCCTGAAAAGCAGAGGGAGGTGGTTAATAAACCCATATTTATATGGTAATTTTGAAGAAAACCATTACTGACATATTAAGAAATTCTGGAACTGTCTTTCCATCAAATACTCCACATTACATGTACAGTGAAACTAGCAAGAAATCTGAATTAATACTTGTACAGTTTAGTGAACCACTCTTCAGTAAATACTATTAATGAATAAGATTAAAGAGAATGAGATAGGCAGAGCATATATCATGTATGGATTTGATAAATCTTTAGTTGCAAAACCCAAGGCGAAGGGAGCACTTGGTAAACCTGGTCACAGACTTGGGGATAATATTGAAATGGATTTAACAAACAGAGCTTGAGAATGTTGACTTAGTTCATCTGGTTCAGGACAGAGCCCAGTCATGGGCTCTTTTGAACACAGTAATAAAACTTTCAGTTCCATAAGAGGCAGGGAATTTCTGTTCGTCTTTCAAGTACTCTACTTTGTGGTTAATAATCCATGTATTTGTGTAATATCCATTAATACAGATACCAGTAATGTTGAATGTGTCAGATACCAGTAATGTTGAATGTGTCAGATACCACATATTTTAGAGAATCTATAGACATGTCTGTGGTCTATTTTCGTACAAAATTTTGCATATCTAATTCCAGTGGTTCATCAGTTGTTAGATTCAGAGCTAGGTATAGTTGATGGCACTGTCTTCTTTTACATTCTGTGAGTACAATGAAATTTATTTACAGACGATCAGTGATCTTTATATAACAGGTGTAACTAACATTCAAGTTAGGCTCACGAATGTCACTTTTACAGATTCTAATGCTGTAACCTACACTCATCCTTATGCACCTCGCCATGATTTCAATGCCATGGATTGCACAGACATGGTGATCGGATCTGCCCGAGGAACAGCAAGTCGAATCTGGGATTACTACACACGTGACAGGTTATTAATAAATAAATGACATTCTTGTAATTTTCCTTAGTACTGCTCTGCTTTTCCAGATATGCACAGACATCATTGTTGCTTCATTTGTCTTATTCCTTAAGAATTAAAATTCCCAAGGATTGTTCCTTGAAGGTTACATCTGAGGTTCATATATGATAAGTAGGCTGCATACTTCCAAGTTAATCTTCTGATGGTTATTGGGATATTTATTTTTCACTCTCATTCTCTTAAGTTTGATCCACAGTTTATGTTACATTAAAAAATTCTCATATTTTTCATAGTACGTGGAGATTATATTTCCCATTTTGAAGTATCTGTAAAATTATTATAAAAAAATAAATTCTTATTCCAAAAGTAAGGTCTCCAAAGCGCTGGGTAATTTTTCGTGCGGCTGTTGGCAACCCTGTTGCATTCGTTGCTTCCCCCACTCCCCCCAATACCACCAAGCATGCGCGCACGTAGCTAGGACGCTCAGTCTTGGCACGGTTGCCGTTAGAAATGGAGCTCCCGATTACTAAAACCGCGAAGTGTGAGATTCGCGCAGTTATTCGGTTTTTGAACGCAAAAGGGACTAAACCAATTGAAATTCATCGTCAATTGGTGGAAGTGTATGGCGAGTCGTGCATGGACATAAAGAACGTCCGCAAGTGGTGTAGGGAGTTTGAATCTGGTCGTACTGCAATACACGACGAAAAAAGAACTGGGAGACCGTCAATTTCTGACGAGACAGTCGCGAAGATTGAGCGAGTCATGCGTCAGGATAGGCGCATCACACTCGATGATCTCTGCATTTCGGTTCCCGAGGTTTCCCGAACCACCATTTATCGGGTTTTGACAGAGAAGTTGAATTATCGGAAGGTGTGCGCAAGATGGGTCCCGCGAATGCTCACGGAAGACCACAAACGGCAGAGAGTTGACTCTTCCCGTGAATTTCTTCGCCGCTATGCTGACGAAAAGGACAACTTCTTGAATTCAATTGTCACAGGCGACGAAACCTGGGCGTACCACTTCACACCTGAGACAAAACAACAATCACGTCAGTGGCGGCATTCCTCTTCGCCTAAGCCTCGAAAATTCAAGCAAACACAGTCTGCCGGTAAAGTCATGGCAACTGTGTTTTGGGATCGAAAAGGGGTATTGTTGGTTGACTTTATGGAAACTGGGACCACAGTAAACGCTGAGAGATATTGTGAGACACTGAGAAAACTCAGGCGGGCGATTCAGAACCAGAGAAGAGGGATGTTGAGCAAGGGCGTAAGTATTCTCCATGATAACACACGCCCCCATGCTGCCCGACAAACCGTCGCTCAACTGCAACAGTTTGGATGGAACATCACCCATCCACCCTATAGTCCGGACTTGGCGCCCAGTGACTACCATCTCTTTCCAAAGTTGAAAGAACATTTGTCTGGAAAGCGCTTCAACAACGACGATGAGGTGAAAGCTGAGGTTCGAAGTTTCCTGAACAGCATGGAGGTGAACTGGTATGACATGGGCATACAAAAACTGCCACTGCACCTACAAAAATGCATCGACCGAAATGGCGATTATGTAGAGAAATGAGTACATGTTCAAGATTCAACTGATTTATCCAAAATTGAAAATAAATGTTTATTTTATATTTTCAAACATAGAAGACCTTACTTTTGGAATTACCCTCTATGCTGAAATCCTAAGTCAGTGAAAATGTTATGATCTTGTAAGGAAGGTTTAGGTACCGGAAATTATTTTTACAATTTATTTCTTTAGTCAGATAATTGGGAAAATATACGAATGTCACAAATGAGTGTGTTATGCAGTGGCAACACTGATACACCAGTATGCAAGCTTTACTACTTTTGGTGTAGTTTTAAAGTGTACTGAATTTCATCGGAATTCAGAAAATGGTTTAAGCAAACCATAGTAGAATTTTTCATTAGTTGGCAACAATTATGGATGTGGTACAAAACCAAATTTACTGCATAAGTTTTAATGAAAACCAGATTTTTACAAAATTATTCAAATAGAGGTTAAGGCATGCTGAATTTAATATTACCCTTGCTTCCCTCCTAAAGAGAAAGATACTGATACTTAGATATCATGAAAACTTCTTAAATTTTTGAAAAAAAGTAAACCTTCACAGCAGGGTGAATAATAAAGGCCAGTTTAATAATAAAATAATATACGAGGGGGTACCCAAAAGAAACCGAACTTATTTTTTTTAACTTATTTATTCAAATTTTAAGCACAAACCTTCAATCCCCTTCAAAGTACTCTCCACTTACACTAATACACTTGTCTAGTCTTTTATTCCATTTTTCAAAACATTGTCTAAATTCATCTTTTGAGATGCTTGACAGCACCTCCGTCGTTTTTTCCTTTCATGTCTCTTTTCATTCAAGGAAACAAAAAAAAGTCGCACGGGGCAAGGTCGGGTGAGTATGGAGGGTGAGGAACAGGGGTCATACCATTTTTGGTCAAGAATTGTCGTACAGACAGGGCTGTGTGAGCAGGGGCATTGTCATGATGGAAAAACCAGTCACCCGACTGCCACAAATCTGGCCACTGAGCTCCAAGTCACTCCCGACAGCTCCACAATTTCTTCAATGGTCCGTCGTCGATCTTCCTTGATGATTTCACGAATTTTTTCAACATTTTCATGTGTTCGGGCCGTGGAAGGATGACCAGAACGAGGTTTGTCATCAATTGACATTTCACCATTTTTGAAACGGGAAAACCACTCAAACACTTGAGTTTTGTACGCCGTTTTTAACATTTCCAGAGTTTCTGTTCCACTTTTCCCGAGCAAAAAGCAGAATTTCATCGTCGCGTGCTGTTCACGAAAATCAGACATTGCAAAAACGACGATCACGCAAAACAGTTGTCACTATAAACTCTGCCGAAACTAGTCCTTACCTTCGGAAGCAATGGTAGTCGGCTTATCGACTCAGGGATGTTAGCTCTATGCGCTCATAACGGCAAAACGCGGTACTACAAAAGCTCTGCCCACAAAACAATTAGTTCAGTTTCTTTTGGGTACCCCATCGTATCACTAACTAGATTTTTTACAAGATCTTTTGTGTTTTTCTTTATTTTTGGATAAAAGAATAGGTGCTAGTACACTGTGCAGTTGTCGGAAATAAACTTCTGAGATGTACAGTCCATTGGTGGACATACACTGAAAAATATGAATTAATTTAATTAAGTAAGTAAATTACATTATGCTGCTGTTGATAGCTACTTATTTGGATATGTAATGTGCAGATCTACACCACGGCTTGACACTTTCTGGGGAGGTAAGAATGATCTTACAGCTGCCATGGGATTTGAAAAGGATGGTGTTACAACAATCCTGTTCAGGAAGAAACTGAAAGGTATGCATTGTCATGTGTCCATACATACTAACAAGCTAATACTTCAGTACAGAATGCATATTCCTGCTGCTTCAAGCGAACAAATTTAATATGTAAAATACACAGGTCATACCGAAAGTCATGAGCAACTTTTTTTTTGCATGCAACCTGGGAACAGCAGACGAAAGAGAGTTTGGTAGTAGGTGGAACCAGCTGTTGTGTTAACCTTGAGTGTCTTGTGATTTCAATAGCTTGCATCACGTGACCAGTATCACTCTTAACAAAATGGCTGACAACAATATGTCGTTTCACCAGTGTGCTGTCATCGAATTTCTTGTGAAAGAGGAAATCCCTGCCGCAGAGATTCACCAAGACTTCAGCGTGCTTATGGAAGTGTGTGCATGGGTGCGAGCAGTGTTTGAAGATAGGTGAAACATTTTAAAGATGGGAACACTAGCATCGAAGATGAGCCTCGGAGTGGTCGTCCTCGAACAGCCTCAACTGAACGCAACAAGGAAAGAGTGGATGAGATCATTGAAGATGACAGGCATGTGACTGTGGACACAGCAGCCCGATAACTCGTTGTGCTCGTTGGGTCCCACAGTTATTGACCAAAGACCACAAAGGTCAGCGAAAAGCCATCACCTCAAAACTGCTGCAGAGATATCGACACAAAGGCGATGATTTTTTGCTCTGTATTGTGACAGGTGACGAAAGGTGGTTTCACCATTTCGAGCCTGAAACGAAACGGCAGAGATGGAATGGCACCATTTGCATTCTCCATCAAAAAAGAAGGTGTGAAGGTGATGGGCACAGTCTTCTGGGTTGCAGAGGGGTTTATTCTGGCCAAATTCCTGGAACCTGGGCAAACCATCAGTGCTGCTCGTTATGTCCAGACGCTGCACAAGCTCCGTCATGCATTGCACAATAAACGTCCGGGACGAAACATCATCCTGCATGACAACGCTTGCCCCCATGCCGCTCGCCTCACATTGGAAGTAATTGCAAAGATTGGGTGGGAAGTTCTTCCACCCCCCTCCTATAGCCCTGATCGGGCACCCTCCGACTACCATCTTTTCGGATTTGTGAAAGATCAGCTGTGTGGACAACGTTTTGAGACAAGGGAGGCACTTCAGAAAGCAGTGTGTCAGTGTCTTCGGATGGCTGGAACAGAATTTTACAGAAGGGGAATTTTCAAACCCCCAGACTGCTGGGAGAAACGTGTACAAAGAAGTGGTGATTATGTGGAAAAATAAAGAAAGGTCTGTAAATTGAGGTGGTGTATTTGGTTTGACAATAATGAAGCATGTTACTTTACAAAAAATTGTTGCTCATAACTTTCAGTACGACCCTCATACAAGTATATGTAAAGACAAACTGCGGTGTAAATCTGTATCTCTGTGCAATCACTTGTGAGTTCTGAGTCTAATTGCTATGAAACCAACTGTAACTTGCTGAAGATTCACCATTTTCTTTGGTCAAAATATTGTACAGTAAAATCTGTCTAAAATGAAACCTATATCAGATGAAAATATGTCTCTGTCAGGAAATGAATCTGGTTCTGAGAATGCAGGATGAAAACCAATGTAAAGTTACCTATGAATGTAAATAGAAAACGAAAAATTAATGCATAATAAGTAGTTACTGTAGGATTCTGACGATGGTGTATAACACACAGAGATATTGAGTTAGCCTCAATCACTGGTCCCAACAGAATAGGTGTTTTCCCTCACCTGAGGACGGAAACAGATTCTGTTTCTGAAACGTATTTTTCTTAGTTATCTTAAAACCAGTATGATGGATAAAGTCCGAAAACCCAATATCTCTGTATTGCATAATAATTTGATGGAATATTTATTTTCTTTTCACATGAATTTGTTCCATGCTGTCATGACAAGGTCTGAATGCTTGGAATGACTAGAAGTCACTCCCTCTGTGTTAGTACTCAATGCTGTGCTTCCTAGAATTTATCTAAGAAGGAATATGAATACAACTATTATGGAGAATACTTTAACAGACTATTAGGGAAGTAAAAATGACAGAAAACTCAGAATGTGTACTAATAAGTCTGAGATGTGATTTAGATCATGAATACTTATGTTATGTACAAATGGTGCAATACATTTTACCTAGAAAGAAGTATCTGTCTTACATGGAAATCTGGCAGAAAAAAGTTCAGGTCCCTTGGACTTCTGTTATAAGTAGATTTTACTCTACTTAACATGTTACCTTTCAACACTTTCATTTCTGATCATCCCTGTGCTTAGAGAGTGGCTCTTGATACGTCTTAAGTGATTTCTGGACCCCAGAACTGGACTACCAGCTCAGCACTTTTGAATGCATTTCATTAAAATGAAGTCTAGCAATATGGACTGCCTTAACTACCTAGTATATCAGCTGAAATTATAATTTGTAACATACCACAGGGATCAACAAATACTGGGTTCTTCGTTATCATGGCACCTGACACTTTCTATCATCTAGTGCAGCCATGTCAAACATACGGCCCCCATAGCCACAAAGTGCGGCCCCTCAACTTTTATAACTAATTGATATTAAAATCAATATTAACATTTTAGTAGAAATATTTTTTGTAAAGACAATTTTCCAACAGACCAGAAGACAAGAAATCTCACGCAGACATAAATTAGCAGGCTGCAGGAAAAGTGATTCTGAGAATTGCAGAAGGGTTTGTCCAACTAATGGTTTATAAAGTTCGTGAAGGACAAACTATTGTATTTCAGAAGGTTAATGCACTGAAATCCGCACAGCCTCACCACCCCAAGTATTTCCAAGAATCACTTTTGGAGGCGCAGTAAGAATGCAAGGAGGGTGGCAATTGACAGACAAGTGCAAGGGATTTCTACCTTCAAAACTAGCTTGCAACCCCCAGCCATTGTGTGATGGGCTGCTAGCAAACTTTCACTTTTGTGACCATTGAGACAAGATACACCTTCCTACTAGTCCGGTAGTCTCTTGTACATTGTCATTCAGTTCATTTTCATAACAATTTCAACAAACCGAATAAACCTGCGACTTAATAGACATAAAAACAAACACAAAAATAACACCGTCCAGTGTGACTATATAAGTTTTATCACTTGAAAACATATCACCCTTACATGTTTCGATCCCTGCGGATCATCCTCAGAGGGCATCCATAGGGATCAAAACATGTAAGGGTGATGAGTTTTCAAGTGATAAAAGTTAAGTAGTCACACTGGACAGTGTAATTTTGTCTTTGTAATTGTTAGTGTGATGGACCAGAATGAAACAAATCAAATTCAGACAAAAAACATTGAACTGGTAATTTAATTTACTCATGAATAATATTATTAACGATATTAAAGTGAAACAATATAGTTGTTGGTTTTTTGTCTTCCAAGTTAACAGTTTATGAAATTCGACACATGTAATTTTGATGTTATTAATTCAATGTTTTGCTATTTCTAACATAATTTCTTGTGTAATCTCTCTTTTTACATATTGAAAAGCTGTTTGATACTTGTCAAAAATGGCATTCTCTTGCTTTTTAAAACTGTAAGATATGTGACTTTAGATAATTATATGGAAATTATTCCTAAATAATAAATAGAATTAAATTTCCTTGTATCAAAATCTAATGTAAATTTCTATTTTGAAGTGTGGCGCTGGACTATTATTTATAGGGCTGAGGTGGCCCTCTGTATAACTTGATTTTGAGATGCCCGATCTAGTGTTATGTACTGGAGCTTTGTTCAGTGGTTCTTCTACATGTATTTTCATGTATGAAAGCTTTCAAGTTTTAATTCTGTCATGCCAGTCACAGCTCCAGCTGATGTCAAAACAGGAAGCCTTTCTGCTCAAACTGTGTTGTAAGTTGGCATATGTATGAAATGATGTGACTGGTATAATTAAGGATTTGATACCGATCACAGCCAGTTTGCACATGCATTGCAGAAAACCCTTGTCATGGATGTTGCAAAAACATTGCTCCAGAATATGCTTTACATGTGTGATATTACACTGTATATAAAAATGTTGAAGCATGTCAAATTTGATCAATATCATACTGATAAACACTGGTTGTACTGGACTTGTAGAAGTAACTTTTCAAATATATCTGACAATAGGTCACTGTGGTCGCAGTGCAAAGGCCAAGAAGGCCCACCCCTTATATGTCATGGTATGGAGTCTCTGAAATGTCAGTTCATTTTAAAATCAGGCAAAGACAAAACATAAGGCTACTTTAATGGGAAATGTTGACAGAACAACTAGGTGTTGAAATTCCTTTTCAGATTTCATTGTATAAAAATGTAAAAGTATAAATGTTGAATTTCAGCTACTGAGCCGACAGATCACTCAATAGATGTGGCCTTGATGCATGTCATCTGGGCTCAAGGACAGGAGCCAAACCGTTATATCCACAGTCCAAAGTCAGGGCTGGAGCGGGATCATGCATCTGTGAAAGACTTTTACCGCCAAGATGAGCTAAAATACCATGGTCATGGAGCCCAGAGAGGGCAAACTACACTCAATTTCTTTGGTAAACTTTATACCTATCATCAACACATCATTTTCTTTAATATTAATTTCGACTACCTACTCCTTTACAGAGTATCTTCAGATCATTCCCACTTATGTATATGAATGCTTGCTTTTTGTTTTTAAGATATGTAACATCATCTGCACCTGGAAGATTATTTAAGTTAATACTGTCACTTGTCTGGGGTTCTGGATTGAATGATTGGATTTATTGCAGCTCTTCATTGTAATTACTCTTAATTGTACAATCGGTTATAATAGCTAGAACTTCAACTGCCCTGCAACCTGCTGTTTGGGGTACCTCCAGACAAGGAACAACCCACAACTGATCATGCAGTAGACTTAATGGGCCATCTACATGACATTTACAATTATGCTCGCCGACACCTGAAACTGGCCAGTGACCGGATGGAAACGCGGTACAGTAAACTAGCCAAATGCGCAGGTTACCACGAGGGTGACAGAGTGGGGCTCTACCATCCAACCTGCATGAAGGGGAAATTGCCAAAACTCCAATCTTCTTGGGAAGGTCCATATAAGATAGTCACCCTGATAAATGATGTGGTATACAGGATACAGAAGAACCCTAGGTTGAGGATGATGGTAGTACACCTGGACCAGCGCACACCTTGTCAGTGAGCTGCTTGGGACAGGCGCCTTTAGGGAGGGAGTATTGGTAGTGGATGGAGAATGATCACCACAACCTGGAAAGAAAAAAACAACAAGAGGAAACACCAAACCAGAGAAAAGAAGATGTTGCAAGCACAGCCCTTGGAAGAAAATGAATGATGATACAGCGTTTGGCTATACGAGACAAACAGCCTTAAGGAGGTAGCAATGTAACATGTATAGAGAATAGCTAGGTAAACACATTCCTGCAAAGAGAAATTCTGGGCCAACAATAGGAAAAGGACTTTCTATTGCTACGCAATGAGCAGTAAACAAGTTTCGTCAACAATAGAGACCATGTTTTCTTTGTAGTCTGTGCTGAGCCTATGTAAGAATTAGTGAAGACTGTTCGAAAAGATTTGTCAGGAAGACATCATTCAAGGCAGTTCAGTAGTTGATCTGTTAACCTTGAGAATGTTATAATTGTTGTGTGTCGTAGATACAGAAGTGGTGAAAGTGTAATAATGAACTGTAGTTACGTGTGAAATTATCCAATAAATTGAGTTATCAGATCCAGAACCGATTATTTACTGTCGCGTTACCAGGATACATGCGACAGTATATTTGTTCTGTTTCTTATATAGTACAGATTTACCAAATTAAGGGCAGCTGCCTTTATTTTAATGGAAATTTTTATTCCATACTGTCCCAATGTTAATTAAAATAAATTGAGGTTTATTCTTAAGTCATATCCTGGTTGTCCATCGACTATAAAACCTTTTTCTCACCCACAGAGAATCGTTTAAACTATGTTTATTCTATTTCAACAACATCAGGAAATAACATGTTTTCTTCCAGATTAATTGACTGGCCAATGATTTTTATTTTTGCACTTCAATATGAGAAGGACTATTTATTTGAAAGATTTTGGAAATACACTCAACCCTCGATTATCTGGGATAATGGTTTGGATGGAAATCACAATTAATCGAAAACCAGGTTAAGACAAATTTTATTAAAAGTAGTACTGTAATACTGTACCTTCATAATACTATAGACCTACATGTATTTAAATTTATTCAACCTCATTTTTATGCCATCTCATGGCCTATTTAATACTTTTTTTACATTACACTGAAGTATGAATTAGTTGTGTAAGATTTGAGGCTTTCACGGCGGTGACTATGAAGAAAGCAGTCTTCTGGGATTTGGCATCGTGTATACCGTGTTAACACCACCTATACACGGTGCCAAATCCCAGAAGACTGCTTTCTTCTTATGAATTGTTTATTTCAATCACAGTGTTCAACAACATCCAACACTTTTTACGAATATTCACACTTAACACTTAAAAAAATTTAATATTGTCCTTTGCTTTTTCGCGGCATTTTCCTTTTTACGGATATCTGTACAAAGTCTACGTATTATTAGCTTGTCACTTAATAAATTGTTCTCTTCACTCTCAAGATAGTCTAGTAAGGATTCCAAACGATTAAGAGCAGCACTGTCCACCTCTTCCTCATTCTCACTTTCTTCTCGCTCTTCTGGCTGCACTCCCACTGAAGTTACGATTTCGTCACTGCTTAACATTTCGAAGCCCGGCTCACACGAGTCACAGTCAAACCACTCTCTTATATTTTCCTCGTTGACTTCTTCACCACCATGAACTTGGTTAGCCAATTTTGTCAATTCTAGGGCTGTCTCATTTTCACTGAATCCAGTGAATCCATGGATTTCATCATCTTCATTAGTGATGAAAGGCATCAGTTTCTTCCATTAATTTTTCAATACAGATGGCTTTACTGTATCCCACACTGTTGAAATCTCGTATATGGCATCTAACATTGAAAAAGACTTCAAGAAACACATCAGATCATTGCCTTCATCGATGTACTTTTGTAGAAAATTTGATCTGTAGATTCTCATCATACTTGAGATAACTCATTGATCCATTGGTTGGATAAGTGTGGTAACATTAGGAGGGAAATATTTCACAAAAATATTTCCATCATCTGACCTCAGGAGACTTTTGTTAGGATTTTAGATGGTCACGAACTTGAGGCACAAATTTAAAATCAAACCATTCTTTAAATATCGCTCTATTCATCCAAGCTCCTTTCTGATTAAAATAATGGATAGGCAGACTTGAAGCTACTGTTCCTTTAAAAGAGTTTGGTCTTTTCACTTTGCTGATAACTACTGGTGTTAGTTTGTGTGTTCCTGATGCATTAGAAAAGCACAAGGCTGTCAATCTCTCCTTACTGGATTAATCACCTGGAGCCTTTCATTTTGAAATGCCAAAGTTCTGGTTGGGAAGCATTTCCAATAAAGACCCGTTTCATCGGCATTATAGATTTGTTCTGACAGCAGATGTTCACTTTTCACGAAACTATCAAAATTGGTGCAAAATTGAACTGATGATAACAAGTCCCCTGACAACTTCTCGCCTTGAATACTAATGTCTCNGATGCATTAGAAAAGCACAAGGCTGTCAATCTCTCCTTACTGGATTAATCACCTGGAGCCTTTCATTTTGAAATGCCAAAGTTCTGGTTGGGAAGCATTTCCAATAAAGACCCGTTTCATCGGCATTATAGATTTGTTCTGACAGCAGATGTTCACTTTTCACGAAACTATCAAAATTGGTGCAAAATTGAACTGATGATAACAAGTCCCCTGACAACTTCTCGCCTTGAATACTAATGTCTCGTATTCCATGACACTGCTTGAAACGTGTTAGCCAACCAGAAGAAGCGTCAAAACTTCCTTGTAGTTCAAGTGCTTCAGAAAAGAATTTCGCTTGTGTAGCATAAACTGCTCCTGTTATTGTTGTTCCCTGTGCCCTTAGTTGATTAAACTAGATCAGCATTGCTTTGTCGAGATGATCATATGTTGATTTTTTCATGGTTTTTCTCTTCTTCATTCCACTTGAATTAAAAGACAAAGCGAAGGAAATCAATTGATTCTTTTGCTTTTTCCAATCACGAACAGTTTGTTCTCCAATACCATATTACATTGCTAATTGTTTAACTACACCTCTTTTTCCCAACTGATTGATAATTTCAATTTTCTCTTGAATACTTAACGCAACACGCTTCCTTTTACACCCTGACATTTTGCTAACACACTTGAAGATTGATACAAAGAGACTAACTAGGGAGGTGTATCTGTCCTTGAAACTTTCCACAAATCCTTGCATTCTTTCATTCCTACCCCAGAACATTGTGTTAGCATAATGGGACCAAAAAATGCAGAGCTCAGTTCACACTAGTGTGAAAATAGTGTTACAACTCACCATGTGAAACAAAAGTGAATGAATATTAAACAACATATAAGCCTCAAAAAAAACCCGGTTAAGCCGCAAACCAGTTTATCTGTACCTGGATAATCGAGAGCTGAGTGTAGTTTTCTTTTTTCCACAAAATAATAAAAACAGCATATGTCTTGCTTCTCCACAATTTATTGAATGAGATGGAGAGATGATTGTGAATTGTGAAAATGTAAGAATGTGGTAGAGACAGCCCTTGCCTGTGAGTACCATTACACATTTGCCTGAAGATACTGAATATCATAAAAATCTCCTTCAGGGAAGACACTAACATTCAGATCTGAATCAAGTACCTGCCAAATACAAGGCTAGAGCTACCTGCTTGTAGGCAGCTGTGAACATAGTGTTCATACTACTGAGACATAGTCTGAAGTAATGGTGCTCTTAATTTATGTTCTCACAGAAGAGTCAGTCCATCTATCAGAGACATCAACAGTGGTAGATCCCAGTATATGTGGTGGTCACTGGCGGACACCAAGAAACTGTGATCCAGAGCAACACAACTGTGAATATTATGCAAAGTGGGAACACCTCTACAAGAAGGATGAAGTACGCTTCACTGTCGAGACAAAACACACTACTACATGGACAGGAATTGCATTCTCAAATGATACAAAAATGGTGAGTAATACAGTCATTAAAATGGACATCAATAATTTATTTTGATAATTCAGCATTTTAACTCATTCAGATACCATTAAAAATATGGACATGGTTCTTGAAACCCTAAACCAGCCCTGTCCAACACGGCGCCCGTGGTATATTTTTCTGGCGCCCTCCGTAACCACATATAATTGAGCCGATTTTTGATATTAATTCAAATTGTAAGACAAGAGACATTTTTGAACGTCTGAGTACTGTTAAATATTTTCAAAAAATTTTATTATTATTATTATTAGTAGTAGTAGTAGTAGTAGTAGTAGTAGTAGTAGTAGTAGTAGTAGTAGTAGTAGTAGTGTGTGGTGGCACCTGCACCTCAATAGGCATCAGTGAATTGTGCGTGAGTACATAAGAACGTTGGACAGCACTGCCCTAAGCTGTGTTTTGTGTTCTGCAGGTAGCTCAACTCTGTTTTCAGTAAAATAATTTTACCTGTTGATTTCTGATCCTACGAGAACACCCATATTATGAGAATGCAATGCTGAGGAGATGATTTGGACATAACGAGGAACTATTATTAGGGGATTACATCAAAGAGGATTGGATGGGTCAGACATATAGCATGCAAGGGGCCAATGTGATAATACATTTTAATATGGAAACCTCAATGGAAGGGAAGGGGCGCGTTGACCTAGGCACGGATGGAAAGAGAGTGTTAAAATAGATTTAACAGAAGTGTGATTTGAAGGAGTTGGCTGCACTGAACTGGTTCAGCATAGGGCCCAAATGGTGAGCTTTTGTTAACGCAAATGATGAAACTTTGTGTCAACAAGAGTGGGGAATTCCTTGACCAGTTAAGTTATTNAATTTCCACATCACAAGGGATCAGTAAGATTCTGATATATCAAAACCTCTTAGCAACAGCGAAATGAACAATTGAGAAGACTAGTGGTTTTTAAATTTTAACCTTTAAGAGCCAAGCGACGCCATATGGCGTCATGAAAATAAAGTCAAGGGGACGAATGATGCCATATGTCGTCGCGTAGTCCACGCGTGCGGTCGGCTTTTTAAAATCTAATTTTAAGTTATAAATTCTTTTTCTACTTACATGATTTTTGGTCACCAGCTTTATAAGTTGTCTCTCTTCCCACCTGCGTCGTCTAACAGAATGTTGGCTTCGTGTGGAAATCTTGGAAACATCCGGAAATGCAGAGTCCCACATCACACTTCACGCACTTTATCCAGACAGTTCTTCGTTTCCCACGCGAAAAGCACACTCGACACCTCAATTTCGAAGTAGAGGAAGTCGGCCAGTGCTGTTGTTTGGCCTCCTCTATTCGAAATGATCCCGATGAAATGGCAGGGGTTCGACCCCTGGGCCGTTGAAGGCGAGGGGGCCCCTCCCATCATGCTGAGCATGTTCCGCACAAGGGCGAGACGAAATTCTCTGTGTGACAATTTCACGCCCCAGGATGACAACAGGATATAACTGTTCAGAATCGTCAGATCCAGGAGATGGAAAAATAATTTATTTGTCCATTTCCACGTTCGACGACAGATGCTATAACTGTTTGCCATTCTGTCCGCTTTGTCGACGTAACCCATGTGCTTGTTGTAGTTAGCAACAATTGCTGGATTGATGGCATTCCCGTGCTCATCACAGAAACTGCCTTCTGCTGGAGGAGAGTGCATATTTGTCAGCATGTAGACGTCACGTTTGTCCTTCCAAACTAGTGCTGTCAAGTTCTGTCTCACCCTAACATGAATGTCACCTTTCTTCAGTCTCTTCCGCCAGCAGACGGATAATCCCTGCAAAGTATAGCATGAAAACACAGAAAGGGGTGGAATCCTCATTTACGTGTGGAGCTTCATTAATATTTAACCCCACAGCTCCACCGGAATAACTATTCACACGCCTCCTGCCATGCTGGTGTGGTGGTCCCCAGGTTGCCGACGAAGATGATGGGTCTTTGTCGACTTCGGGTTCTGAGCCCGTTGTTTCCTCGCCACTATCAGAATATTCTGTACCGCAGTCTGAATCGGTGTCAATAATCAGCTGCTTCTCAATTTTGTCTTCTTCTAAGTGAAACGAGGCCATGCTGGCTAGTTCAAATTGCGATGTTTTATTCACAACACAGCGCGCTAGGCTAGAACGTTCTGGTAGTGCATGGCTATGCTGAGAACAGTACCTCTGTTTGGGTAGTTCGATATATGCACAGTCAGGGTTTCTGAAGGACAATTCTAATCACATCGCTTAAAAACATCACAATTTCAAGTATCCACCATGGCCCCATTTCGCATGCAATAAGCCGCTCATAAATTACACCGATTCAGAATGCATTACAGACGAGACTGAAAGGCATTCCAAGAACAGTAGCTCTGTGTGTTTAGTCCAAAATGTAAACAGAATCATAACGCTTATAAAACATCGCAATTTGAACTGTCCAACATAGCTCCATTTTGCATGGAAGAAGATGAGATTGAGAGGCCGCTCTGTTTGTCTAGCCCGAGATATAAAGAGGCAATGTTTCTGAAGTATAAATTACGATAAGACTTGCGCCCACTCATGCGATAGTAGAAAGGTTACGACGTGACTGGAGAATGTGCAGGACAAACATTACCTTCCTCCCCCCTTTGAAGGATGAGACACAGGAAGAGAGGATGTCATCAGCATGCATTTATACTGAAGAAACGTTTTGTGCAGAAACTTTCTGCATTTTTGTGGACAGATATTCAAAATTGGGATTTTTTTTTTGGAATCAGTGCAAAAATTTTTACAGATTCTAAAATCTGTAAAATACAATATCTGATTCTATATTCTTTCTAGATAAAAGCAGCGTTTATTTCGTTCGTTTATCTCAAAAATTGTAGAAATCACAGCATTTTGAGTAACATGATTACAATTTTTATTACTCTACAGTGGCAGGATTTAAATTAACTCTGTCCTGCTACCACTACCGGAATTTAAATGTCCCGTCACTTAACATTCCTGCTTTAGCAATACCCTTATCTTGACAAAAAGAAAACCACTGTCTCATCAGTAGGTAAACACACACTTCTGCTATATTTCATACCACATCAGCATTAACTTGGATCTGCTGGTAGAGACCAGCAGCACTAGTAGTACTCAGTCATGGACTGATCGGTATCCTAGGGGACTGATTCAAAGTATGACAGACTGACAAGGTTACAAACAGAATTTATTGAGTGGGCCTAGGCATCAAATTATCTTGATTGGTTGCATCCTGTTGTGTGTTTCAGATATGTATATATAGGAATTATATCTACTGTCAACAAAACAAATGCTCAGTTTTAATTAAAATTAAAACTGAGTGTTTGTTGTGTTGATGGTAGACATAGTTCCTATGTATACACATGTAGGCATCAAAGTGCAGTGAAGAAAAGCGAAGAAATACATATTGGATTTTAGTGCAAAACTAGCACCCACAGGTAAGAAGTTTACACGCACGCACGCTCACACACACACTAGTGTCCACAGTCATGTCTTCACTGCCATTGCTTGGTAGCGGCTTTCCAATGGTGGGTGTTCTCCTTCCTCTGGGTCCCAAAATGTTTCTGGCCTTAGCTACCAACTTCTAACAATAACAGCTCACAATGACTGAAACCCAGTAGCTGTCTCACTAACCCACCAACTAACCTTCGTTCATCCACCAACTTGCTGATTGACTCAATCAGAGTCAGAGTTACTTTACAACTGGCAGTTTACTATTGATCAGCTCATCTTGGCTCCAAGCCCCTTGAGACTCACAACCAGAGATTTATTTTTCAAGTGAACCCTTGCAGTCACAGTCCTTATGTAACATCCTCTTTGATGACAAGTTGGGTTTGTCTCTAATGAACAGGCTTCACCTTTGTCAAGTGTATGTATCACACATATAGTATGTTATTGAATATTCTTCCTTGTGCAATATATATAGGTCCTCTCCCCAAAGCAGATTATGACTCTTTTACTATCTACCACAGCACCATAGTCACTTAAATGATCATAAGCTTGACCGCTGCCAAGCTTAAGCCTCTTACTTTTTCTAAGTCTGACTTCGTCTTGTCCTACACTGCAAACATGTTCATTCTCATGATTTTGTATGACTTCTGCTTGTTTCTTGCACAATTTTATTATATAATTGTATACATATGGAAGGTTGAATCGTGGACCAATGTGCACTTTGGAAAATTTCCAGTGGTGTGGAGTACCTTGTTTTGCAGGCGCTGCAATTTTAAGAGACAACTGTCTGCAGCTAATTCCCAGGCAGGGCAAGTGTAAGTAATTACTGATCTGGGCAGTGCTTTACAGAGGGTTAGTTTAATTTTGGTGCTTAAATGCTCATTTTTGAATAGGGGGTAGATTGAAATATATGTTCTGAGGGCCTTAGCTTCAACCATTTCTGCGTGTAATCTCCATGTAATCCTCTTATCAAAGATTACAGTGAGATATTGTACATGATTGACAAAGGGGATATTATGTCCATTCAGTGTAAGATGAACCTCAAGCGGCCTAAGTTTATGAGAACAGTAGATGGCCTGAGTATTATCTTCATTGATTTTTACGTTCCAGTGCTCACACCAGGTGTCAGTAGCACTGAGACCTTGCGGCAGCCTTCTGAGACCATAACCTTCTTTGCGGTCTGCCACATATATGCAGGTGTGATCAGCAAAGTGACCTAGATACACACCAGGTTTTGGGGGTGTATCATTTATACATATGCTGTACAATCTTGGGGACAGGACAACCTGTCGTACATCCCTTGGTGCAGACATTTCACCTTCGATCAATCCTCTGACTTTTCTGTCAGAAAGAAAAGAGCTCATAAGCTTGATTAGACTGATCGAAAATCCTAATAAAGATAATTTATAGAGAAAGCCAAGGTGCCATCTTGTATCAAAGACTCCGTCAGTATCCAAGAATACAGCAGCCATAGGCATTTACTCTTGACATTTAAGGTGACGTGGTCCGTGAGCCCCATATTTTGACGTGTTATGCTGTGACAAGCCCAGAAACCAAA